AGAATGCTGCATGAGGTAAAGAAGAATCCCAGAGTGTCAGCTAAAGACCTACAGAAATCTCTGGCACATGCTAACATTTTTGTTGACACATCTACAATAAGGAAAACCTTAAACAAGAATGGAGTACATGGGAGGACACCACGGAGGAAGCCATTGCTGTCCAAAAAGAATATTGCAGCATGTTTGAAGTTTGCAAAAGAGCGCCTGGATGTTCCACAGCACTACTGGCAAAATATACTGTGGACAGATGAAACCAAGATTGAGTTGTTTGGGAAGAACACACAACACTATGTGTGGAGAAAAAAAGGCACAGCACACCAACATCAAAACCTCATCCCCACTGTAAAACATGGCGGAGGGAGCATCATGGTTTGGGGCTGCTTTGCTGCCTCAGGGCCTGGACGGATTGTTGTCATTGATGGGAAAATGAATTCCAGAGTTTATCAAGACATTTTGCAGGAAAACGTACGACCATCTGTCCGCCAACTGAAGCTCCGCAGAGGATGGGTGATGCAACAGGACAATGACCCAAAGCATACAAGTAATTCAACAAAACAATGGCTGCAACAGCACAGAATACGCCTTCTGGAGTGGCCCAGTCAGAGTCCTGACCTCAACCCGATTGAAATGCTGTGGCATGACCTTAAGAGAGCGATTCACACCAGACATCCCAAGAATATTGCTACAATGAAACAGTTTTGTGAAGAGGAGTGGTCCAAACTTACTCCAGATCGTTGTGCAGGTCTGATCTGCAACTACAGGAAACGTTTGGTTGAGGTTATTGCAGCCAAAGGAGGGTCAACCAGTTATTAAGTCCAAAGGTTCACATACTTTTTCCTCCCTGCACTGTGAATGTTTACATGTTATGTGCAATTAAACTATGGCAACATCTAATGTTTGTGTAGTATTATGTTCAGCAGACTGTGTTCTTCTATTGTTGTGACTTAGATGACGTTCAGAGCACATTTTATGCCCAATTCATGCAAAACTCCACGTAATCCCAAGGGGTTCACATACTTTTTCTTGCAACTGTAGGTTAATTTTAAGGTGAAGGTCTAGGCTTATGTTTTAAAATAAAAATGGTTTTGGATCACCTTTACATTAATATTTTTTAACAATCATAAGGTTTTAAAAAAACTTTGTAAAATAACTTTTAGGCCTCGGACAGCCCTAGCTCTTTTCACCCTCTCATTCAGTTATACAGGCTGAGCAGCTGCTGCTCAAAACACCTGGGATGCCAGCTGCAGATATCCCCAGGTATATTCTCTGCACCACTGCAGATTTCACCATGTGAGCAAGGTCTTATGCAGGCCATACATGTGTCGAATTCTGAACAAAATGTCTTTAGAAAATTGGAAATTTTGTGTGTTTTTGTAATCCGATGGTACCACCATTGTTTTCGAAATTCGACCAACAAAGCTTTCAATTTCACCTCGTTGCTTTTCATAGCTGGAAATATTCTTTTCTTTCCAGGTCACAGCTCATACTCATTTCTTTTTTGATTATATTTCTCACACGATTCTCCCACTGTTGATTAGAAATTTGTTAATTTTTCAAAAAAATTCCAACATTCCCTATCAGTCAAATTAAAAAATCAGCCAATGCCTAGCCACATACAGGAGCCTGAAATCCAATGACCACTTTGAAAGCCTGAAGGTGCGTATCTTCCTCATTTCAATTCCTCACTACCTATCACAGTTTCGAAGGCCATGAAATGCCAAGATAGCACCAACCCCAACCCCCCCCCAATGACCCCTTTTTGAAAGTAGACACCCCAAGGAATTTAAAAAGAGGCATGATGAGTATTTTGCAGATCTCATTTTTTCTCACAAGGTTTTGAAATATAAAAAAAGAAAAATATGTTTTTGTTTTCTTTCTTCATTTTCCAAAAACTTGTGGCAACAAACGAGATGTGCAAAATACTCACAATGCTTCTTATCAAATTGCTTGGGGTGTTTACTTTCCAAAAAGGGGTCATTTGGGGGGGGGGGGGGAAATAGGGGGTTGGTGCTGTCTTAGCATTTCAGGGCCTCCGAAACTGTGATATGTAGTCAGTAAGTGTAACGAGGAAATAGAGCCCCTTATAAATCCTGAAGGTGCTTATTGGATTTTGGGTCCTGTACTTGGCTAGACTGCCAAACAGTCTCTTACATGTGGTACCCCCCCCATACTCGGGAGAAGTAGCAGAGTGTATTTTGGGAGTAATTCCACATATACCCATGGCTTGTGTGAGCAATAAATCATTAAATTGACAATTTTGTGTAAAACAAATTTATTTTTTTTTGTCATTTTCCAAAAACTTGTGGTAAAATAATAAATTCTTCTATTGACTCAACATGCTTCTCAGCAAATAGTTTGAGGTGTCTACTTTCCAAAAAGGGGTAGTTTTGGGGGTGGTGGGGCATTTTATGCCCAGCATTAGAAGTTTATTCCACACATCTCTCACTTTTCTAACCACCTGAAGACCAAGCCTTTTCTGACACTTTTTTGTTCACACATGAAAAAAATCTGTATTTTTTGCTAGGAAATTACTTTGAACCCCCAAACATTATATATTTTTTTTAAATCAGACACCGTAGTGAATAAAATGGTGGGTGCTGCAATTTTTTATGTCACATAGTACTCGCGCAGTGATTTTTCAATCGCAAATATTTTGAAAACAATACATTTTTTTAATTTTAATGCACAAAAACACAATATATTGGCCAATTATTTGGTAACTTACAGTGGGGCAAAAAAGTATTTAGTCAGCCACCAATTGTGCAAGTTCTCCCACTTAAAAAGATGAGAGAGGCCTGTAATTGGCATCATAGGTAGACCTCAACTATGAGAGACAAAATGAGAAAAAAAATACAGACAATCACATTGGCTGATTTGGAAAGAATTTATTTGCAAATTATGGTGGAAAATAAGTATTTGGTCACCTACAAACAAGCAAGATTTCTGGCTCTCACAAACCTGTACCTTCTTTTTTAGGAGGCTCCTCTGTCCTGCACTCATTACCTGTATCAATGGCACCTGTTTGAACTTGTTATCAGTGTAAAAGACACCTGTCCACAACCTCAAACAGTCACACTCCAAACTCCACTATGGTGAAGACAAAAGAGCTGTCGAAGGGCACCAGAAACAAAATTGTAGACCTGCACCAGGCTGGGAAGACTGAATCTGCAATAGGCAAGCAGCTTGGTGTGAACAAATCAACTGTGGGAGCAATAATTAGAAAATGGAAGACATACAAGACCACTGATAATCTCCCTCGATTTGGGGCTCCACGCAAGATCTCACTACGTGGGGTCAAAATGATCACAAGAACGGTGAGCTAAAATCCCAGGACCACACGGGGGGACCTAGTGAATGACCTGCAGAGAGCTGGGACCAACATAACATAGGCTACCATCAGTAACACACTACGCCGCCAGGGACTCAGATCCTGCAGTGCCAGACATGTCCCCCTGCTTAAGCCAGTACATGTCCGGGCCCGTCTGAAGTTTTCTAGAGAGCATTTTGATGATCCAAAAGAGGGTTGGGAGAATGTTATATGGTCAGATGAAACCAAAATAGAGCTGTTTGGTAGAAACACAACTCGTCATGTTTGGAGGAGAGAGAATGCTGAGTTGCATCCAAAGAACACTATACCTACTGTGAAGCATGGGGGTGGCAACATCATGCTTTGGAGCTGTTTCTCCGCAAAGGGACCAGGACGACTGATCCATGTACAGGAAAGAATGAATGGGGCCATGTATCGTGAGATTTTGAGTGCAAACCTCCTTCCATCAGCAAGGGCATTGAAGATGAAACGTGGCTGGGTCTTCCAACATGACAACGATCCCAAACATACCGCCCGGGCAACGAAGGATTGGCTTCATAAGAAGCATTTCAAGGTCCTGGAGTGGCCTAGCCAGTCTCCAGATCTCAACCCCATAGAAAACCTTTGGAGGGAATTGAAAGTCCGTGTTGCCTAGCGACAGCCCCAAAACATCACTGCTCTAGAGGAGATCTGCATGGAGCAATGGGCCAACATACCAGCAACAGTGTGTGCCAACCTTGTGAAGACTTACAGGAAACGTTTGACCTCTGTCATTGCCAACAAAGGATATATAACAAAGTATTGAGATGAACTTTTGATATTGACCAAATACTTATTTTCCACCATAATTTGCAAATAAATTCTTTCCAAATCAGCCAATCTGATTGTCTGGATTTTTTTTCTCATTTTGTCTCTCATAGTTGAGGTCTACCTATGATGCCAATTACAGGCCTCTCTCATCTTTTTAAGTGGGAGAACTTGCACAATTGGTGGCTGACTAAATACTTTTTTGCCCCACTGTATAAAAGATGATGGTATGCTTGAGTAAATAGATACCAAACGTGACATGCTTTAAAACTCTGCATGCCCCGTGCAATGACAACAAACTGCATACAATTTTAATATTCATAGGGAACTCTTTAAAAGCCTTTACAAGCTACCGTTTTAGATTTACAGAGGAGGTCTAGTGCTAGAATTACTGCCCTTGATCTGACCTTCGCGGCAATACGTCACATGCATGGTGCAACTGCTGTTTACATACTGGTATGGGGTCAACTCTTGCGCACACAGGTGCACGCGGGGGGCGAGGGTACTTTTTTTTTAAAGTTATTTTGATTTTTTAAAATTTTTTTACACTGTCCCTTTAATTTTTTTTTTATCACTTTTAATGCTATCACAGGGAATGCAAATATCCCCTATAACTTCAATGGGCATTGTCATATATTCTTTTTTGAGAAATCTGGGGTCTATCAGACTCTAGATATCTCCTCTGCCCTTACATTATCTAATCTCACCAAGATCACTGTGATTACATGCTTTCCCAATTTACAAATGATGCTGTTTATATCCTGCGAAACTGAAGTGATGAAATGCTTGTAGCTTCCGATTTCTTAGACTGTATAGATGATTGGCTCCATTCTGGTCTCCAATCAGATCTATGGTCAGCTGGCAGAAACACCAGCAGCAGGTTCCCCCGATGGCATGGGACTTTTCGCACTGTTGTTGTGCTAATCTGAAGGCCACACCAAGTTTGGAGGTCTTTAGCTATTGATTCTGCAAACAGTTGGCAACTTCTGCGCACTGTGCGCTTCAGCATGCGCTGACCCCCCGCTTTGACATTTTATGTGGCCTACCACTTCGTAGCTGAGTTGCTGTTGTTCCCAGTTGCTTCTACTTTGTATAATACCACTAACAGTTGACCGTGGAGTATTTAGTAGCAAGGAATTTACATGGTTGGATTTATTTGTACAGGTGGCATCCTATCACAGTACCACACGCTTGAATTCACTGAGCTCCTGAGAGCAATCAATTCTTTCACAAATATTTTTAGAAGCAGTCTACATGCCTTGGTGCTTGATTGTATACACCTGTGGCCATGGAGATGATTGGAACAGCTGAATCCAATGATTTGGAGGGGTGTCCCACTACTTTTAATGTATATGCTATAAATTGTATGTTTTTGTGTTCTGCTAGAGGAGAAACATTTTAACAAAGCAAATCTGTGCAAAAAAAAAAATATATATATAAAAAAAATAATAAAAAAGAAAAAATAGGTAGATCAAGGTTTTAACAAGGCCATTGTTAAGCACAAACGCACTACAATCCATTTAACATGTTTTCCTGTGGGACATGTTCACATCTATGCTTTTTTCAGCTGCTGCATTTTTGGAAAGGGTCAGGGACTTTTTTAAACTCAAAGCAGTGCATTTGTGGTTCAATAGACTGCAGTGGAGACACTTCATAAAAAAGCATGTAGTGGGTTTTTTAATTTGCCCAGCAACAAATTGGTCCAAAAAAATCACTGCAGAAACAGATCAAAAGTAATCTGTATAGGTATGAACCGAGCCTTAGGGTAACAGGTGAGGTCAGAGTCAAGGGCTGGGTCAAAGGTCAGTGTATTTTAGGTAAGATTATAAAAAACAGCATTTTTAATATAATATCAGTTGGCATCAGTATGTTTTAAGTAGGATAAAAAAACAGCAACTGTTGTTTTTGGCCCTTCTACTTGTACAAGCAACCAATAATATATGTGGTATCACTATGATCGTTAGGAGCAGGAGCATTTGTTTTGGGGTATTCTTTGGTCATAGGTTATAGTAATAGCAAGAAATGTACAACTAAATTAAAAAAAACAAAAACTTTTTTTTTTACTATTTTGTGCCGTTTTCCTTTGATAATTGAAAAAAAATCTGGCGATGTCCATTAGCTGTTACACCAAATAAAAGTCCAATTTGTTTTTAAAAAAAAACAAGGTATAATCCACCCAGATATACGAAGTAGTTGCAATGATATAGCAGGTTTACTAAGATATGTCAGATTTGCAAAACTGTTTTCAGGCATTAGGAAATGTTTTAGGCCCCAATCACACTAGAGCATTTTGAATGCCTGCAATTTCAAAACGCTCTGCTAAAACGAGAAATTGTGAAACTGCGTGTTCAGGTGACATTCATTTTAATGGCACCTAAAGATGCGGTGCGATTGTGTCATGGTGCTGTGTTGCAGTCGCAGCAAACCACATTGCTCGATGTGTATCGCCCAAAAGAAGTTCCATGGATTTCAACCCGATACCTAATGTGCCATTGTCTAGCTTGGAGAGGTCTGTGCGTCTCTCCATGAATATGCCTCCCCAGACCATCACTATCCCACCACCAAAACGGTCATGCTGAACAATGTTACAGGCAGCTTAACGTTCTCCACGGCTTCTCCAGACCCTTTCATGTCTGTCACATGTGCTCAGGGTGAACCTACTCTCATCTGTGAAAAGCACAGGGCACCAGTGGCCGACCTGCCAATTCTGCTGTTCAATGGAAAATGCCAATCGAGCTCTATGGTGCCAGGCAGTGAGCACAGAGCCCGCTAGAGAACATTGGGGCCCTCAGACCACCCTCATAAAGTCTGTTTCTGATTGTTTGGTCAGAGACCTTCACACCATTGGCCTGCTGGAGGTCATTTTGTAGGGCTCTGCCAGTGCTCATCCTGTTACTCCTTGCACAAAGGAGCAGACACCGGTTGTGCTGATGGGTTAAGGACCTTCTATGGCCCTGTCCAGCTCTCCTAGAGTAACTGCCTGTGTTGGATTGATGACTATAATTTTATTCTGGAAGTTAACAGATGAGAGGGAAATTCCTTCATAAAGGTTGATATTATTAGCAGCGAGGACAAATAATAATAAAAAATATATAATATAGAATGTCATTGCATGTGGTAATGAAACATGGAAAACTAATTATGAAATTCTGACGGTATAGTTTATGAGTTTTGGTATATTATTGATATTGATATTGATATGTAATCCTCAAAATAATGCAGTGTACTGCATTTTACTGCTTTTAACACAGTAACCTTCACAATTGTTTAATTTTCTGTAGAACAGAACATATAAAATGCATGCAGTAAAATACAGTACAAATTACAATACATCACACTGGGCTTCCTGCCCCACAATACACTGCAGAAGAGAAAGAAAATGAGATGAAGACTATTTAAGCAAACATTAGTGGGTACAAAAATGCATTTCCTGACATTTGGCAACATTGGTTCTTCAGTGAAAAAAGTGCTTTCTGTGAGACTTTTTTTTTATAAAATAGGGTTACATTTCTTGTACATTCGCCTGACATTCACTGAACACTTTGTAAATAGCATTTGCCAGGTCTGATATGTTGAATTAACTAGATGCACATGCTTGACACATGTTTTTTTTTTTAAATATTTTTTATTCTTTTTGATTGAATAGAAATCCCCCCCCCCCCCAAAGAAAAAAGATATAAACCCTCCCAAAGCACTTGTGCTCTGTGCTGAAAAGTACTGGAACTTTTGCCACCGCTAGTGCCTAGGAAGGGGCTTCAGAGAAGATGAAAGGCTTATATGTATCCTTACACAACTGGTTTTATGGGACATCTAACCAGTTCACAGTGTATGCGGCACATAGTTAAAATGTAAAATGAATGTAATATTTTTAATTTAACTACTGTGAGGACAGGAAGAGATGGGAGTACTGTATCTGAAAAGCTATTCCAGGTAAGTGACTTTGCAAATACTTAATCACCATACATGCTGAAGAAATGAGGGAAGGTTAACAACCTAAATGATTTCCCATTTCCTTTGAAAGTGACAGCTTTTACAGTAGTACTTTTCTGTTTCTGTTCCTCCAAGATCATCACTGTACAGCCTTCTTGGTGCAGAAAAACCTCTTTTTTAGATTTCTCTCATTTCGCCTGCACATTCTGGCCATCTTTCCATAAGTGGATTGAATGAATGGAGAGCCAATGGCCTGTGAGAGCCAATGGCCTGTGAGAGCAGGCAGGAAGAGAGCAGAGCTCTACTGCAGACGAGCACATTGCTGGATCGAGTGAGGTAAGTAGGGTGGGGGGGCGATACTACTGCAGGGACAAATTGTGCCTTATTGCAGGGAATGCAGTAAGGTAAAAAATGTTTTGCCCGCAGAACCACTTTCAGTTGCAGATCTCTCAGTATGGTAATTGTTGGTGACTCGAAGGGATAAAATGTTCAAGATATATTTTGTCTTTGAGAATTTAACGTCTGTTTTTTCCAATCTTCTTTTGGTCAGGTCTGAATTATCCAATATTGGCTTATCTGCCACAACTCCATCAGAGAAGCTACCAGCAGGACCTAATGAGAGGAACAAGTCAGCGGGGAGTCAGACAGATGTGAAAGCTGATTTACAGAAACTCCACTTGAACACACAATCGTTAAAATATCTTAAAACAGATGTATCCTCATCAAAGGGTGAGAATGATACTCTATGCTATTTTAAAGTGTCTAACACTGTATACTCAGAGAAATGCACACGTCTGGGAGACTCATACCATGAGGAGGTACTGATGATTCACTGATGGGCACTGACTGGCAGCACTGATGAGCGGCACTGATGGGCACAACTGCTGGGCAGCACTGATGGGTGGCACTTCTGAGCACTGATAGGTGGCACTGATGAGCACTGATCATCAGTACCCTGATTATCAGTGCAGATCTGCTCTGTGACATTTGCCGGTTACACTGTTATCAGGTAGTTTTGGGCATAAAATTAGCTAATCTTACTAATTTTGGGGTGACTGAAAACGAAAATGACCCTAAAAAAATGTTGATTGGCTCTAGTGATATATTCACCCATCTAATGGTAAGCATTCAAAATTATGATGCAACTTAGCTGCATATTGCGCAATTGATACTGGTGACCAATAGCAAATTACATGTATACTGAGATGATGCAATATTTGCCTTTAATTGCATCACTTCACTGCATAAAAGCTGCAGTATCTGTAGCTGATTGTAGTTGGACAGCGTCTTTACATTTTGTTTTATGCTTATATAGGCTACTCAGTAATGCCTCGAACTTGTGTGAATAAAGCAGATAATTTCTGCTATATCTGCGGTGAAATAACTTTTATCTCACAAAAAAAAGGAGATAACAGGAATGATTAAGAAAGCCTACAACTTGTATTTTGGCTGCAAGATAGGAGACCAGGACAAGAGCTGGGCACCACATATATGCTGCAATTCTTGTGGGACGGCACTGGAGCAATGGTTGAATGGAAAAAAGGCATCTATGCCTTTCGCTGTGCCAATGATTTGGAGAGAGCCAACAGATCATGTTAGTAATTGTTACTTTTGTATGGTGCCTCCAATTGTAAAAGGCCTAAATAAGAAGAAAAAGTTATCTGTGCACTATCCAAATATTCCATCGTCAATACGTCCAGTTCCTCATGGAGAGGGGCTACCAATTCCTAAAGCACCAGAATCCTTCGTGGTTGAGTCAAGTGAGGAAGAACCTGAAGCGTGTAGTCACGTGCAGTTGTAAGAGATAGCCCTTTCCTCGAATACAAGAGAAAAGCCAAGAGAAGCAAAACCGACACAAACTGAAGACAAAAATACTAGTGAGAATCCTAAGTATTAAAATGATTCACTTAGCTTATGGCTATAATTTTTTTTGGTAATCCTATGCAATATATTATGCCATTTAGGCTTTGTTATGTAGTCAATATCACTTGCTTTATATTTGTGGAAAGACATCTATCTATATAATTATTGTGCATTATGTAGTCATTACGCCTATAGTAGAAAACTTTCCGTTTACAGAAAAACTAGAGCCAATTGGACAATTTCATTGTTATATTTGAACTCAGAATGTGAAATTCATTAAGAAATGGATCCTTTTGTTTCCAAAACTGGCAAAAAATAAAAAATTTGTTGAACAGTGTTATCGGCAGTACTTTCCTCACGCTGTGACTGCATGAGGAAAGTGCTGCCGATAACTGGCAACTGTATTTACTTTGTGATCTGCTGTGTCATTGGACACAGCTGATCACATGGCAAAAGGCCACGT